TTATAAAGGAATCAAGTGTAGTTATATTTCGTGGTTTCCATCCTTTATGATTTCTACTACTTGTTTAGGAACTTACTAGAACATGATTAGTTTTAGATACTTAAAGAAGGTACTAATATTCTGACAATTGTGTTTGTTTACTTAGAACTATTTATTACATGATCAACTGGGAACTTCAAGTAAACAGCTCTTAGAATGAAAAAAAACTTTAAATGATCCTACAGATTTAGCCTGAAATTCTGAGAATATTTTTCCAAAGGTATCTGAAAAGGCAAATTGCTTTTTAAGGATATATAGGGATGGCACTGTGGCGTAGCGGGTAAAGCCGCTGCCTGCAGTGTGGCATCCCATATGGGCACCAGTTTCCAGTTCCTGTTGTGTCTGCTCCAGTTCTGATCCAGCTCTCTGCCATGGCCTGGGAAAGCAGAAGATGGCCCAAGTCCTTGGGCCCCTGCACCCATGTGGGAGCCCCGGATGAAGCTCCTGGCTCTTGGCTTCAGATCAGCACAGCTCTGGCCGTTGTGGCCAATTGGGGAGTGAACCAGCAGATGGAAGCTCTCTCTCTCTCTCTCTGACTCTCCTTCTCTCTGTGTTAACTCTCACTTTCAAATAAATCTTTTTAAAAAATGTATAAATGAATAGCCTAAAAATGCTCTCAGGTGGGTGTCAGATCAAGGGTGCAAATAGTTGTTCATGCAACTAAAGAGCCCATTTACAGCAGAATATAGTGAAAACTGAACAACATTTTTTCTGTTTTGTTATGTGCTAACTACTACAATATTTGTGTTTCTGTTTCTTTTCTCACAGATATGAGAAAGTGCCAGTCATCTTGGTTGGGAACAAAGTAGACCTGGAGAGTGAGCGAGAAGTATCGTCCAATGAAGGCAGAGCCCTTGCCGAAGAGTGGGGCTGCCCCTTTATGGAGACTTCCGCTAAGAGTAAAACAATGGTGGATGAACTCTTTGCAGAAATTGTGAGACAGATGAACTATGCCGCTCAGCCTGACAAAGATGATCCATGCTGTTCTGCCTGTAACATACAATAGCATCCAAGTCCAGCTGTATCCTAGGCGATAGAAACCTCGTCGACTCTACTGCAGAATTTGCAGTATGGGTGGTGTGAATCTACAGCGCACAGCAGCCCGTATTCAGAAGTGACAGTGGTTGTCAGTTGATACCTCTGAGTACCATTTGGGTCCAAAAGCTGTAGTTTTCACCACTGTCCTCAGTCTCCTTATGCATCTGCAACTTGAAGGCCTAGCCCAACAGTCTACAGGGTGACCTCACTTGAAAGCGATGATGATGCTGTCGCTGAGTTGACAGAAGCAGCAAATACATAACTTAAAATAATCATGAGGGAGAAACCGGAAGAATTCCCATGATCACTTACAATTAAAATATTTTGTCTTCTTAAAAAAAATTAAGTAAAGGAGAATATTTTGCTAAGAGAGTACTGAGTTTCAGGACTTGGTATAGAGCTTCTAACCAATGTATTCTGTCAAGTAAGATAACAACAGCTGACCTGTCAGTAGCATTGCAGGGAGGGAGTCTGCTCAGCTGACAAGGTTCTGTTTTGCAAAATTGATGCTTAATTGTAGATGATATCCTAATTTGTGACACGGAACTAACTCACACATCAGTCTTCGATCAAACAAAAGTACAGGTTCTATAAAAACACAATCTGGCTTTTGAATTTGTTAAATCACCTGCTTTGCCACAGGAAATGGAGGCTCTTACAAGGGTTGGATCAGAATTAAAACCCCAAACCCACCCTCTGTTAACCAAGCAGGGATGGTCTGCATTACTTTACTCAACAAGAAGGAAGCAACTGTAATGGGAAGAGATTGCCTCGCCTTACTAACAAGCATTCTAGTCAATTAGCTAGTACCATCATGTAAGGAAAATGAAGCCATGTTGCATCCACGTGTTCCCGTCTGCAGAAACTTCACAGGACAGTACAAATTCCTGGCACTTTTACGTCCATTAAAGCAGCAAATTCCTCCTTGCCTTTAAGGGCTATGGTTATGACGTGACCCTTGGCTAACAGGCTGTGAAAATCCAGTTTGCTGTAGCAGAGCTTTCTAACAGGCATTTTAAAAAAAAATGGAATAACCATGTGAAATAATTCCGGCTTAAAAATAGAACATAAATTACAGAGTAGAAGGTAAGGGACAAAAAGCCTTTTATCTTTAATTTTCCTGAAGAATTACATAAAGGTTTTCATATAACACCTTTGCCCTGATTACTGAAGTGGCAAGTAAAACTAGAGTGAATATTTTGTTCTGAAAAGGTGCTCAAGCTCTGATATTTTTGGTTTTCATAGCTGTGAAGTATTTATCATTTGCATGACTGATAGCACAGGGAAAACCTATTCATAAGTTTCACAATCAAGTGTAGAAGGGTTTTCAACTAACTTTGGAGTTTTTAAATGCTGACGAGATTATCTTGAGCTGGGCCGCTGGAGATAAATTTGGCCTTCAGAACTGCTATATCACTGAGCCTGAGATCTACGTACCACCCCAAATTTTCTTGGTTTCACAGTCTTGTGCAAGTAACCTTATGTCTTACGTGTGTAACTGAGAGAAGAGTGTATGTTGTGTGTGCATGTGTGTTTACAGTTCCTAAGAATTTGGCACAAGTTGGAAATAATTGCCTATACTGAGAATCTATACTGCAGAATATAGTGTATCAAAGACTTTTCTTTTAAATTATTTGAGTGTCTTTTATACATTATTGAAATCATTGGTAGCCCACCCCCCAAAGTGCTTAATAGCTGGCATTAAGGTTAGAGGATAGGAAAAAAGCTGGATAGTATTTTTCGTAGATAAGGAAACGAAAGAAATTAAAGCCAGGCCATGGCTATCAAGAATGTTTCCACTGTGAATATTTCCATGCTTTGGTGTAATTTTTTATAATCCTCATTTATGGAGCTCCTTGTGTAAAAGAAAGTTTTAACCAACTTTATTGAAAATATATTTGACTATTTAAAGTTGATTTGACTGAAATGCAGGGAAATCAAAGATTCAAGAAATATAGTTTACTGAAATAGGAAATATTCATTAGTGAATTGGTGGGGTTTTGAAGCTTCTAACTTCCCAGACTGATTCTGGTTTTTGAGAATTCTATAATTAATAGCAATTTATGCCAACTAAGATTGCATATTAGAAGCACCTATGAAAATTCTGCAGTTTTACATTTTGGATTGCTATGCAGAAGTTAAAAATAGGTTAAAAATGTGAAAGACTCGGCAAAATGTAAGCTGGAAAAGATTATAAATTTTGGAGTTTAGTTAAAAATGTTTCTATCAGATACTAAGGTGGGCTTTTACTGTACAGATGTTAGTAATAACTGATTTGGCTGCCTGATCAGTGTTCCCATATAGCCCTACACATTTTGTGACAAGACATCAAAGATTTCTGAAACCTGGACATCGGTCCACCTGTGCTCTTAGTATTGGTATTCATTTGGTATGAACATAACTCAGTTTGAATGAATGTGTCTGTTGAGATGGTAATAAAAAGCTTAACAATGGGAAGATTGCATTTGTTGTTACAAGAAATACTAGTGGCTATAGAGTAAAGCTGGTGACCTTGGGTCACTCTTCTATGCCCTGATCAGACTAGCAGCTAGATAGGTGAGTTTGAATTTCTAACATGCCTTAAAAATATGATGGTTTGATCCAAAGACCCACTTTTTCTTTAGCTACCATGATAAGGTTTTCTTTTGTTTTTTATTTTTATACAAAAGCAGCATTTTTTTAAGTTGTTTTCTTTCAATGTTGCAACTTTTGGTTTTTTCAGCTGTGATACTGATGGTAACTCTGCCTTTCATTTTGTTGAACTTTTAAAAGAAAACCAGCCAGCATCTGATCAAAAGTGTTACGTAAAATCTTTTCTTAAACTATTGGAGGTTGCTTCGGTGATTTTTCTCCTTTAGTTTGTAGTTAGGACTGAAGTTTCACCTCTGATCACTATAGATGCCATCACTTTTCTGTGTTTAAAACTACTGATATTTGCTTTCCTATATGAGGAAATGTTACCTAAGGATGTCTGGCATTTGCTTTCAGGGTTTTCCAGTTTGAGTGTTCTCCGTGTCTGTATGAAGATAATTGTTTTGTGTGTTGCTGTTGAGTTTTTGTTTGTCTTGTTTTTCAGTTTTTTGTTCTCAGTAGTTTTGTGTTAGCACTGGTTAAGCTTAATTGTCTCCTTAGCCAATGAAATGTTAAAGACTATGGGGGTCTTTTTTTTTTTTTTTTTTAACATGTCATTGTGCATCTGTTAAATCTTGATCAGGGTTTCAAGAATGACTGCAGTGGGTTTTGGAAACAAACTTAACATTATTGATTTGGGGTTTCCCAGAGATATAGTTCACAGTTAATTGTTGAGCTCTAATACAACTGACCATTTAAAATTGAACAGCAGCTTATTGTTTTGTAACAGTGTCAGTTGTTAAATCTTGACATTTCAATTAAAACATGAATTGTAGTTATAACTCAATGCAAATTCAACAGTTGTATTTGGAGTTAAATTATTTTAACAAATAAATTTATTTAATGAAACTCTGGATTTTTGTTTGGCTTGTTTTGTTTTATATATACTCATGAGCTATGTCTATTTATCACATTATTACCACCTGAGATGCCCACATCCCAACTCAGAGTGCCTGAGTTCAAGCTCCAGCTTCACTTCTGAGTCTAGCTTCCTGCTAACGTGCACCCTGCGGACAGCAGCTGATGGCTCAAGCACTTGGGCTCCTGACACTCACGTGGGAGACTTGAATTGAGTTCATGTCTCCTACTTGGGCCTGGCGTAGTCCTTTCTATTGTGAGCATTTGGAGAATGAACCCGCTGATGCGAGATCTCTGTGTGTGTGTCTGTGTGTATGTGTGTCTGTCTTTAAATTAAATAAATACTTTGGTTTTTTAAAACAGGAAAGTTAGTAGTAGATAATTTTCATACCCTTTAAAAATAAAAACATGAGAGAGATTTTAAATCTGTCACTATAAATTTATAGGTAACATTTTTATTTTTTATGATAGCCAGTTAATTTGAAGCCCCAATCCCAAGGTTAATAGAATTGTTCTAGATAATTAACATTAATTATCAGTTGCTTTATGGTCTTGCCAATATCACTGAAATGTTTCATTGTCCCTTTAGTGATGCGGCTCGAGGCCGTCTTTCTGTCTTCAGGTCATGTGGATTGGAAGGTGCCGGAAGCTGAAGGGTGCAGCTCTGTGGGGCTGTAGGGCCTGCGTGTTCTACAGGGGACCCTGTGAATGTGGACAGATGCTGGTCATTGTATACAGCCTTCAGCTGCTCACATAGGAGCCCATTCATTCCCTAAGCCAATTTAAACTATGCCTTTTGGTTATGTTGCCTTCAAATTCTGTTGAAATCCCTGGCAACATCTCACCAGTTGAGAAGCTTCATTGTTTGAGAATATAAGAATAAGTTGAATGAATATAACAGAGGCACTGTAGACAGACTCTCAAAATACTTAAAGGAAAATGCACCTATATTTCAGTAATAAATATCTACCAGTTAGCTTGATCATCTCATGTGAAGTGTTTGTAAAGTATATAAAACCTGTCCAATTCTAATTTCAGTTGGGAGAATTTCCTGGAGGCTGAAAAGCAGTATTTTCAAATTCTCTCAAGTTGTACTGTTTGTCTTGTGTTAGTGGTCCATGAGTGAAAATATATGTATCCGAAGGAATACGGTTCTACCTGGTGTAGAGCCCAGGGGAACATTAGGACCTGTGAAGAAAAGAATATTGTCACAAACTCCCTTAAAAACTGTTGACCTCTGTCTGGGTTGCCACGTAAATACTAGGAAAATGTAGTGGCTTTTCATTTGTGAAATGGATCAAGAACACTGGTTTTACACTTGCAGTATTTATTTTTTATCCCTCCCCCTCTTTGAAGTATTGCATTTTAAATGATTTGCTGTTCTTCAAAGCAAGGTAATGTATTCTTTTCCTGTGTTTTCTAAGAAAAAATATTCTTTGTGTTGCCTTCCAGGGATTCCTCCAAGACTTATTGGTAGAGGAAAAGGTAGAGGAATATATGCTTGAAAGATGAAATAGAACATTTAAAATGCTTGAATTAGGAAGGCGTATACTAAAGCAATGATACTTGCTTTAGTTTAGGGGAAGTTTTTACACAGTCCTATTTCAAAGACTCAGAAGTATCAATGTTTTATTGTGTTATACATTTACAATTTTACGTTAGTATTTGGGGTACAGTTCTTCTTTTTTATTGTTATTTTCATCTACATAAAAGGCAGAGCAACAGAGAAAGAGAGATCTTCCATCCACTGGTTCACTACTCAAATGGTCATAAAGGCCAGGGCTGGACCAGGATGAAGCAAGGAGCCTGGAACTCCTTCTGGGTCTCCCACATGGGTGGCAGGGTCCCAAGCACTTGTGCCATCTGCTGCCTTCCATGACTGCGTTAGTAGGAAGTTAGATCAGAAGCAGAGTCCCTGGGACTCAAACCAGCACTCTGATATGGTATGCGGGCAACCCAAAAGGCAGCTTAACCTGTTGCACCCCAGCACCCACCCCTGATTCACTTTTTTACCTTAAAAAATCATATTTGTGAAAAACACAAGAAGGAAGAAGTTAGCCTAACTTCTAGATCCTTCAAATGACCCTGTTAATTAACCTTTGATGTAAATCATTGCAAACATCTTCCTGCACATTTGTACATATACAGGTATATACACACATGGATAAAATGGTAATAACTTGATGTTACTTATAGAAACTGTGGGGCTAAATACTAAAAATGAATTTACCAAAGCTCACAACTCATACAGTGGCATAGTTGTAGCGCAGCACCAACCTTCTAACTAAATCTCCTTTTCCTTGCTGTTAAACTTTGTTAAATCTTATCTATTGATTTTCCAGGTTCATTCAGCTATATTTGTTGAGGGTTACTCCTGCGTCTGGCACAGTGCAGCAGTACCAAACTAGTCACACACACATAATCCCTGATGTGAGACACATCCTGGTCTTAACTCCCCATCTTTCCCTTTTCTCTCAAGGAAGACACAAATTAACATACTCACGAGAACTAATTTGTACTGCTCCTACTTTGTTATTGTAGGACCCCCCATAACCAGGTTGAACCAGAGTCCTTACAGCACAACCCCCGAGCCTGGTGCTCAGTTCCCCAGCATCAGCCCAACCTACTTCAATCTGGGACCTTGAGGGGTGTGTCCTGCTGCACTGCCCTCTATCCTCACCCCACCACACACACACACACACACACACACACGTGTGATGGGGTGGGGATAGAGGGCAGTACAGCAGAACACCGGAGCCCTGCCACTGGAGTGTACTTCCTAAGGAAGAATTCAGGCCAACCGGATTTCACAAGGACCTTGGAGCCAGTTTGGGGAGAGCAGAAAAACAGTGGCAAAGGATTTATTTGTCAGACACCAGTCCCTGAAGAATAAATGGTTGACCCATGACTATGGTTAAATACTTGATATTTCAAGGTTTCAGTGAGATTTTTAGTTTAAAATGTCAGTATCAGAAAGTGTTTTGTAAGACCTGCCTACAGAATGAGAGATGAGTATTTGGAGAAATTACATCATTGTTTAGTGGAGAATAACATGAAATTAAATAGTAGTAATGCAAGACAGTATAATTTGGTCAAGAGTCAGAAAATCTGAGTAAGGGTTAGACATGAAATATAGAACTGTGAACTGAGGGAGGCGGTGGTCTTGATTTATTTAGTTCTTTGATTGTGGCTATATTATAAGAACATGAGATGGCCATGACTTTTCATCTGAATCTAGCTTCCAAGGGGAAATGTGCCAACAAGATGTTTTAGCAACTGGCCATTGCTTATTTCTTTGGTTGAGTGTTACCCTAGGTATGTTCTGAAGAAGTCTTATGCCATGAGACATTTGGCAGATTATTCTAGAATTGGTAACTTTGGGAAGCCCTACATAACATACATCATATATTGGAAAATACCTAGAAAATTACAATGATGATCCAAAACAAACAGGACCCCAGGATATTTTCCTAAATAATACATAGTAGCACACTGTGAAGCAAAATTGAGGAAATGGTGCAGTTAGACATGAGGCTTCTAAACCCTGCTGTGGCAGCTCTGTCCAGATGAGGTACCTGGATCAGTTGTGAACCTGAGAACTCCTGCCTTTGCAGTCTCAAAAGAGAAGGTAGGGGAGGAGAGAAACAGAGAAGTGAAGGATCAGCTACTGTTAAACTGTAGCTGACAGACATTTGGGTGGATTTCAGTTTGGGTCTATGAACGCTAATGTACATGACTCAGTGGACAGGCACAATGCTCACCTCTAGGTCAACATCTAGGAGCAGAATTGCTGGATCACAAGGCATGCTTATTGGTCTTTGCTACAGGATGATAAACAGTCTTCTCGAGTAGTAGTTAGCAATTTACAGCAACAAGCAATGTGTGAGAACTCCAGTCCCACCATGACACTAGATGGATTACTAAGGAAGCAGGCTATGATATAGAACTTTGTGTGCAGTGTCGGTAGGATCGACTCTGAGAAGGGGAGCAGTAGGAAGTAAAATTGGATGGTAGGCAAAGTTGACAAATGCAGAACCAATGACAACCTGATGGTGAGGGTGGGGAGAATTAGAATTGCCCTCAATTGTGCACTAGACCAAGACGGCTAGACCTCTGTACTCTCCATCCATCAGTCACCATGATGCAGCCAAGGCAGTCTTCAAAGAACAGAAGAGTGTAGGCCCTCAGCACTCTGAGCAGCTGGCACAACAGTCACTTGACTGAACAGAGATCCAGGTAATGCCACACGGTGCTTACTGACACCACACCCCCACACACACTTAGGACTCTCAGTCCTGTTCATCTTGTCATTCTGGTGACCTGTAGACTTTGCTTTGTGTTCCTCTACAGCCAGTAATCATAATTAATGGTCGTTGAGTGCACTGCCGCCTCTTCTCCCACATGTGCAGTGTGGCTTCCACTAGCAAACTTTTACTGCACGTAGACTTTTGAGAGAAGGAAAATGGGGCCCTGCCCCTAACTAGGTAATACATCAGAGTCTGTGTGGAGCTCGATAGAAAAAGCTACGCTTTCCCCTGCCTGAAAGCTTCCACTGCTACCATTCTTTCCTACCCACTGAAAACCCCTGAGTTAATCAGTTAGGGCTTTCCTGGAATGGAAGTGATACTGTTGAAAGAGCCAGACCGGATGTTTTGCTGCCTTTCTGACTGGCCAGTACTGTCCTGAGTGAAAGCAAGAGCAGTTAAGTTATTGTACGGTTTACCTCATGACACTTAAATGGAAGATAGGATAGACAACGGAGGTCCCCTTAAATCAATTCCATTTCACTCTTCTTTGTTTCTTCTCCTTTTATCTTTCCTTCCAGTTGCTCATTGATTACTGGAATCTTCGTCGCCCAGTGTTGCTAGATTTTCTCCACATCCTAAATATAGACAACTGCTATTCAAGTCAGGAGCATTATATCCTTTGGGAAGTAGTTTTAGTCTGGTGGTTGCTCTGTTTGTTTTTCTGGCAATAAAAATCTTTTTGGGAAGCAAATTAGTTCAGTAGAACAGCTGGCATCAGCAAATCCCCATGGGTTTTCCCTCAACATCCTCAACATGTGATTTGTAACTAAAACAAGGCAAAATAAAAATTCAAAAAACTTTTCAGTTTCACATACCAGTAGTATTCATTGCATAAATTTTTTAATGATCAACTTCTTCATGAACATACACAAGACTAATTGTTCATCACTAACTTTAAACCATGATGATGATTGTTACTGTTTGCAGCCGTGTCTGCCAGCAGTCCTTTTTTGGATACTCTCAAAGCTGCACATGGCCATGGGCCTTGGACTTAGGGGCTGGAGCAATGAAGGAGAGGGGGGGGGGGAATGGCTACAATAGTAGAACCCATCTGGTGTACCAGGGCAGACACTTCTTGGGAGGGACCAACGGAGAGTCCTTCAAGGGTAAGTCTTGGCAGGAGTCCTCATTAGAGAAATGTGATTCGAAGTGGAAAACCATGAAATAAACAATGGCCTGTCGGCTTAGTACTTAAAGGCATTCTCTCTGTAGAGTTCCTAACATGTGGTTAAGATGACTATTCATTTTGCTTTCTTACAATGACTTGTCAGCCTCAGTCCTGAGCAAATACCATCTGACATATCAGCACATCAGTAAGCTTAGAAAAACATAATTAAAAGGTAGAATGTACGAGAACTGAGAAAACAGCTATTTCTCAGTCATTTCCTTTTAATTACATTTAGATGAATTCCCCTGTTACCATGGAGACTCTTAGGACATTTGGGAGTTGGGAATCTCCAAGTTTCACAGTTCTTTGTCTTAAAAACTTTCTTGTTCTGTTTATAAGTTCAAAAGCCATGCTGCAACTTCCCAGTGGAGCAACATGCAAATTTAACTATTATAAGTTGTTCAAAGCGGTTAATATCACAGACATGGTTACAGATTACATCTATATGGAACCATTCATTGTAGTTTGGTTGATTCGGTAAGCAGCTTTGTCCAATATGGCAGCCATGGACTGTACCGCCATGTAGCTATTTAAATTTATATTAATCAAAATAAAATTGGGGCCGGCACTGTGGTGCAGCGGGTTAAATCCCTGGCCTGAAGTGCCAATGCTCACTTCAGCAGTACATATACTGAAGTGCCGGCATCCCATATGGGCGCCGGTTCTAGTCCCGGCTGCTCCTCTTCCCATCCAGCTCTCTGCTATGGCCTGGG